CATTTTTGGTAATGACCTGCGCGTGAGGCGCTTCTTGGGAATACGGTGGAGCTGTCGCAGAATCCAAATGCGATGCCTTCTCCAGCGATTGGAGTGCCAGGGTGGACACGTCGGGCGTGTACCTTCATACGATGGACGAGAAGACTCTGCTGCAACTTGGGCAGGGCGACGTTGATCCGCTAGGTGGAGGTTTCGGAGGCGGTCGGGGTGGATCCGTCTCCTCAGTGTGGGAGGGGCAGCACCGCCGACACAGAAGGGTTACTTGTGATCTGCAGGGCGCGTGTCGGTCTGCCGAGGAGTGGGCAGGAGTCGCATCGCACCTGTGCGCAAAGACGCGATTCGACGCCCTATTTCTGCGAGGAGATCAGGAATGGGGTCCTCGCCACACCGACGAACGCCTGTCGTGCGGTGTACGCGCCTTCTGCTTCCTCCTGGAATTCCTTCCAGCATAACCTTTTGACTGCAGTAAGGAAGTCCACGTGCCAGATTGGGATGCCCTCTTGCGGGAGAGAAATTGAAATCGTGGCTTCTTCGTCAGTTGCCTCATTGCGTGGGATACCGCAGTGTGATGGGGAAAATATAAATTCTACAGGACGACCTCGTTTCACCAAGGAAAGTGGCATAATTAAAATCGCTTCAGTAACGCGGTCTCGCATGGCCAATGGGCAACGGAACGCCTCAATTGCTGACAGGGAGTCCGTTGCCACCAGAATTCGTGTGGGCGATTGGGATGTTCCCAGACAAGGAGGCATAAGATGCCCAAAGCCATTTTCGATGGCAAGGCACTCTGCTCTATATGAGCATGCGAGCCTGCCAGCTGCTGCACGATGGACCTCCACAGGGGCATCATTTGCCGTGGTGTAGTCGTACAATAGTGCAACGGATCCAGATGCGGGTTCAGCGGGAGAGGAGGACTGTCCATCCATAATTCAAAATCGTAATCCCCAGAGAGGAGTAAATAGAGTCAAAGGCCGTACGCCTCACATCGTCAGAGGTGTCTTGGAAAAGAGTGGCTGATAAAATCTCACTTTGTTGCAACTCACAGTGTCCCAGGGAAAAATTCGATGTTGAATAGGAGGGGAGCGCGAATGTGTTTGCGGGGTGTCCCAATAATGTTACATACGCGGTGTAATTCATTAATAACGGCATCTCTCTGAAGCGGGATTGATGTCGCCGCTTTCCCATGCATGGACGGAGGCATAGGTTCCGAGTAGATAAGGGAACGCAAATCCTCGTAATCATGGAGGCGTATACAGCGTTCCTGTTTTGTGAGTGCACGGAGCCAGAGTATCTTCCGGAGCCGGAGAAGATTGCCTTCCAAGCAGACAGATGTATCTTCCGTTGGTGCGCTAAAGACAAGAGATGCTTTACAACTGTCGCGGTACCGTACTTCCATATTATTGAGGTAGGTGTAGGCAAGGCATGGGAGAATTGCATCGCCACAATATAGTGACACACTGTAGACGTATTCAATCGAAAAGGATCGCATGGTGAGATGGGACGCACTAGCTTGTGCAACCAGTCACAATTGTTAACGGCGTAGCATGATCTGCTTTGAAGCGGTGGGAGCGTGCGTGCCAAAATTAAGAAGGCGATCGAGCGTGTTGCCCAGCAAGCGCACTGGGCGTGACTGAATACGTAGGTTCCCGCTATCAAGATGGAGATCGATTATTTTCTCGCCAGACAGTGTGTGTGAAGAGATGTAGAATAGAGCAGCTTCGCTCTTATCGACGTTGATTTTTAGGCTGTGCTCGACAGCCCATGTCGATACAAGGGACAGGGCGGGTTGCATTGCCGCAGCACATGCATAAATGTCCGCACCTGAGGCAACAAGTGTGAGGTCGTCAGCGTGCATGAATGCGGCGGCAGAATAGATGTTGTCCATGCGGCGCAGCAGGTCATCCACACAGTGGAGGAAGAGTTGGGGTCCCGGGACGCTGCCTTGCGGTCGTCCGGCTGAGGTGAGTTGTTTCCGGGAGTGCTGTTCGCGAGTGCATACCCTAACATAGCGGCCCCGCAGGTAGTTGTGCAGCCAGCGTTTGGTTCGAGGGCCAAGGCGCGGGAGTCTGTCAAGCATGCCAAATAACTTCCCATGGTCAACGGTGTCTCAAGCAGTCGAAAAATCAATCAAAACTACGAGCGAGCGATGGCGACGAGGGTGTCGTGTGGGGCACCGCCTCCAGGGCGCTCATACTCCACAATGCCAAACTCATTCAATCCACGAGTAATTTTACCAATAACAAGTGTCACCACGTCCGACGTAGAACGCGGAGGTGCAAATCCGAAATTGACGTGGGTGGTGCGGCAATAACGCTGACAGACGGCGGTGAATCATTCCTTCGATTAACTTGAATAAAGAAGAGAGCTGCGTGATAGGTGTATAACTCTCTGGGCGGCATGGATCCTTCCCAGGTTTGGGAATAGGAATAGTGTCCACCGTATTCCGGGAGCCGGGCATGCTGCCATTTGCGAAGGGGTTGTGGATCATCGTTCTAGTTGTGCCGCGCGCAACGGGCCCGAGACGGTGCAGGAATTCATTCAACTTGTTGTCGGGGCCAGCGGCCGAGCCGAGCAAGAAGTCACGGATGTTCACGTCAAGTTCATACGGCGTGAGAGGCCGATCCATTTCCCAGTCACCAGAGTTCAAAGGAGTGCGGCGGGCAGCAGCAGCAGTACAAGGTGATGTGGCACGTGAAACCCGCAAAAAATGACGGACTAGCAGATTTGCCTGTTTCCGGGGCAGGGCGCAGACGCGGTCCAAAGATCAGTGCGGAGCACCACCGATCCCAGAGGATGAGGGTGCGGCGCCGCCATGCCGCGGAGATATCGCCAGTTTGGGCTGGATGAAGCCTCATGTTTTTCCACACGGGCTTCCAGAGGCATAGTGAAGCCACGGCGTAAGGCCTGATTTTATTCCCCTCTTTTTGGATCAATTCGGCTCGAACCAGGCTGTCTCCGGGCGAGGCAATGTGTGCGTTGTATGCTGCTTCCGCGGCGATCTCGGCTTGTTCCGTTTCGTGTGTCCACATCGTGTTGGGGTTTTCACGGCTGCCGCGCGGGATATGGCGCTCAGCTTCTCGCAAGTTGCCTCTGAGAACGTCAAACCATGTGGACGCGGTGGAAGGGAGTGTTTCACACAACGAGGTGGAAGCAGGCCAATCCGCTTTGCGCTGGGCAAAGGTGGCTTTTTCCCGCCGAGGCAGCGTGTTGGCTAGTCGCGGAATGCCATCGTCCATCCCTACCGAGTAGGATATTAAGGAGTGGTCCGAATCCATGTGGGGAGTGGATGTCCGGTGGGAGATGCGTAGTACGCAATACGCAGTCACGTCAGGGGACGAGACATCACAATTTTTGATCCGTGTTGCCTGCGCCGGGTCATTTGCCAGCCCAAAATCCATATTAATTAGAACAGCGGCAAAGTTCTCTCCTCCAGTCGTTGATGGTATATATGACTGTCCCAGAGTTCATGATGTAAATTCAGGTCACACGCGATAATGGCAGCGGGGCCCAAGCGACGAATGGCAGTAATAAACGAAAAGCTTTTAACAGTTTCCATGGGAGGGTTGTAGAGATTCACCACGCAGATGCTGCGACAGCCTGGCGGAAATACGCGGACAGCAATGGTCTCCAGGAGGTCAGTGCCAGGGAGCGACAGGCGCTCGCACGGCAGAGTGGCGCACCAGAATGGCAACGCCACCACCGCGCCCAGTGCGAGCCTGAAGGTAGTCATTATGGCCAGAAACTTTTGTCCGCTACGTCACTGCGGTTATTTACTTCCTGGAGCAGAAGGATGTCAGTTTGATGCTGCTCCCATCCCGCAGCAAATGCAATCTTTTTTACGGACGAGAGGCCTGCAATGTTAAGCCGCCAAACAGTGATGTAGCCATCCTCCTCGGTGCCAGGGTTCTTGTGGACGTCACCGCAACGGGTGATATCAACGGAGTGACCGCAGCGAAACGGTCGTGCAGTTTTGTCCGACAGTCTGCAGGCAGACCACTTCACCTCCCCACACCGGGCATGGCGTGGAACCCTCTCGAGGGGTGGAGTCACCTTGGTCTCCGTCGTGCTCGCAGCAACGCCCTGCTGCGGAGTTCCTATATGCAAACAGAGCCCCAGCACCGCGACAGGGTGCGACGCCATTGCTGGGGGCCCAGGAGAAGCCGCAGTGCCTCCTGCTGTCATCCGGAATCTTTGTTGACGCCTTGTTGCGGACAAGCGCCCATTGTTTCTTCAAAAAGACGCCGTACACCCGCGACGCATCTTGCGCTGTGAGAGGGACGACCCTCACCACAACCGGAGTCGCCCACGCGCCGTCGGTACGCACCACATCGTCAAGAAAAGAGCAGGAATACTTCAGGGTGAAAGCAAGACATCTGCTGGCAAATCACATCGCACAGATCATCAATAGCAGCACCAGAAGCGATGCAGACCGTGGGGTTAACGTGGACCAACTGCCGCATGCCATACGCCAAAGACAATCTTAATGGCTTTACAAGAATACAAGAGACTGGCGCTTCCTCAACAAGAACGAAAACATATATAAAAAAGAAAAATCCAGTGACCGCATCCAAACATGCAGCCGATCAGAAAGTGCAATGGGTGCACTCAACCACAAAACAAGTAAAACATAAAACAAAAACCAAAAAGCCGAAGCGTGGGACGACCAGCGCACACACTCTCATTGCTCCCTTAAAGCAAAACACACACACAGGGAGGGAGAGAGAGAGAGGTCGCCCACTCAATGCAATAAAAACAAAACAGAAACAGTTACGGTGCTCCGCCCATGCAGCCAGGCAGGACGGCAGCGGTGCGTGTGGTGCAAAAGAGAGCACCAACGGGCCTGCATGGGTGTGCATGCAATGTATACAATGGGCACATTATGTGTGTGCTTCGTGGGATGAGGTGAGGGCGAGAGTCCATGCAAGGGGACACACACACAGAGAGAGTGAGTGAAGGACGAGTGTGTGTGCGGGCGGTGCATGGCTCTCTCTCACTCACTCTCACGCGGCCACCACCGCAGCAGCAGCCGCACACGCAACAAGAAGAAGAAGAAGCAAAAGAGGGGAGGTGGTGTGGGAGGCCGCGGTGCTGCCGTCACTGTCGCCAGGCTTCACCGTATCGTTTGTTTGAGCGGTGACTGTTTTCACTGTTTCTGGTGCTGGTTGACTGGCTTTAGGACCGACGTTGACATTACCAACTTCAGGGTCGTCGTGGGTTTCTCTGGGATTGTGCCTTTCAGGATTGTCACCATTCTCATTCGCCATTCCCTGAAAGTCACCATTGCCACTTGTAGAGATGGGTGATGATGCTGTATCTGTCGGATGGCCTGTATTTGCACCCCTTATCAAATCTGATGGGTCTCTGTCTTCATCGTATTGCTCTGCCACATCATTCTTTGAATACGGTTTAGGTGCTTCACTGTCCGTTCCGATTCCTGAGGTTGTCGTCTTTTCATTTGTTTGCGTTGAATTCCGTGTGTCACCTGCTGCAGTTGGTGGACTTTGTCCCGTTGGTTGCACTGGCAATGATGGTTTCCCTGTGGGTTTGCTCTTGGCAGACGACACGCTGGAGGAGTCTTTGGCATGTACGTCACTTTCCCCGGTACGACCTTCACTTGCACCATTATCACGAGCTTCAACATTTGTTGCTTCTTGTGTATTTGGAGGGATTTTATTTTTGTCGGAATGCAACACCTCCGGATTCTGCACTGTGGGCAATATGGGCAGATCAAGCGCCTTTCCTGCCTGTTCATCTGTTCCTGAAGAATTATCCTTCTGAGTGGCCGACTCAACGTCGGTGTTCTTCAAACCGTCACCATCATTGGTAGTGGAGGATGTAGACTTATCAACAAGACCAGAAACCTTCAAAATGGGATGTTTATCTCCGTGAGAAATTCTACTTGAGCCACCACCACCACCATCACCATCAGCTTGACTGGCAGGACCAACTTCACTGCGGCCACTAGCTTCAGAAACACTGGCACCAAGTGGTGGTGGGGCTTCCAGTGTTTCTGGCGCTGGCAGCGGCGGTGGTGGTGGAATTGAAACTGAACCCAAACTATTACTTTCCTGAGAAATATCTTTTAATTCCCTTTCTTCGGCTTGTATGGCATCGATGAAGAATGCTGATCGCAATGGCAGCGTCGGTGTGGTTTTATTGCAACCGCTCGACAAATAAAGTGTTCTCATTCCCAACACACCCGATGCCATGCAGCCACCCACTGCGTTGTTCTCGAATTCTCTTGCATAAACCCATCCGGCACCGCACCACAGCACGCAGAGGGCACACACCAGCAGCACACGGCCAGTCATCATCATCGCCATCATCACTCCTGTCACTTGCGTGCAGCCTTCAGCACAAACTAACAACACGTCAACGCAGAAGAAGTAAAAGAAAAGACAGGTCACACAGCCACGCAACAGTCACCGCACAGTAACAAATGTCAACACACCAGCAGCAGCGCACACACCACGAGACAGTTGGAATCAGTACGATTGCAGAATTCACACAACGCCCTGCAAACCAGAAGTTTAAAAAGCAATAAAAAACAAGAAAAAAAACCCGGGAGCTCCAGTGTGCATGCATACGAGTGTGTCCGCGATGCGTTCGACGTGACGGATACAGAGAGCCACAACGCGGAGCACACAGCACGGCAGCGGAGGCAAGTAAAGCAAAAAAAAACAATCATCATAAGTACTCTTACTTTATACATCGGACCACAGTAGACGTACACATGTCCCCGTGGCTTTGAGTGCTGGCACGCACAGCCCACACACACCTCTTCAGCCCACAGTGGTGTACGCCAGCGCGGATACGGCAAGCACCAGCGGGGCACACACCCACGCAGAGCTGCTGAGGCTGCCGTCGACTTCGCGAAGACGTGACGGTGCGCGGGTGGTCGTCGTGGTTGGCGCCTCTGTAGTCGTAGTGCTTGGTGCCTCTGGCGCAGTGGTAGTCGTGGTTGGTGCCTTTGTCGTAGTGGTGGTAGTTGTGGTCGTCTGGGCAGGAGGTTTGTTCGTCGTGGTCGTCTTTGCGGGTTCTTCGTCTTCCTTATCTGTGAGGTCTGCAGATTTATTAGTGTCACTTTGTAACCCTGTCGTACCTTTATCACCTTGTTTCTGTAACGCACTGGCAGCCTCTTCCGATATTGGTGAAGTACCGGTCAAACGTTGTTCCGCTCCGGCATCTTCTGCTGGCTTCTCAGCCGGCTTATTCACTGGTGGTGCGTGCGGTCTTGGCTGATCCTTTCCCTGTCCTCCTGATTCAGGAGGCGATGAATTGATGCCGGTTCCCTTCACATCAACTTCAGGGTTAGGGTGAGTTTTAGAGTCCGGTGGCTGTGTGGTAGTGGTCGTAGTCGTCTCGGCAGGCTCTTCAACCGTTTCAGGATCCTGCGCAACGCACACGGACGGGCAGCAGCACAGGGCGAGCACCAACAGGGCGCACAGCAGACGGCACGTCATCATCGTGGGTGTGGTCGTTCAGTGGTGTGGAGCTGATCTGCACAGTGAGGGACATGGAGAGCAACAGGGGAGACGAGAGGTGCGGCAGACACACACACAGAGGGCACACCACATGAGGAGAGGGCAGCAGCCAGGCATGCACCGTACGCCGCACACCACGCACGACACACACTCCAATCCACGGCAGCAGGCACACACACACACACACAGCCCTGCCGCAGCACCAACACACAGATGGAAGAGGGAGAAGCAAACAGGAGCGGCACACAAGGCTCCACCGCATGCACATACGGCGAGAGCGGTACGTCGTGTCTGCACCCCTCACGGAGTGTACGCACACAGCAACACGAAAGCAAAGTAAAAATAAAAAAGGAGGTCCCCGCACACCACGTGGATTGTTGGTCCACGGGAAGTGCAGCCAATATTCATCACAAAAATAATTCAGTTACCTTCGGGCTTCGTCCATATTCAGCGCACACCACTTCATGCAGGCCTGAGAACCACCGCAGCAGCAGCCGCAACACTCAAAAATAAGCGCAGGGAATGGAATAACGCAAGCAACCATTGATTTATGTTTCTGTTTGGATGTTGGCAGATGTCCGCATGCGTTGTTTTTTGTTTTTGTTTGTGCAGAGGGCAAAACTTCATGCCTGGATCGTGTGTTGGGGATTCCTGCAGGGTGCACAATTTGTCTCTTTCCTCTTGTGCATTTTTTTATTGTGTTGGTGCGGCCAATAATTCGGTTTCTGTTGTTCCTGCCTTTCGCCGGTAAAGTGTTGCAATAGATGTTTTTGTTTTTCCTTTCGTTGCTGTGGCACCTGATTCCTCACCGTTTATTGCGGTGGAAATGAAAATATGTGAGTGGACTCCCACGCACCAGAACGCACCTTCGCTCCTATTTATTGGTGCATGGAAGGGCATGTGTGTTTGGTGGTGTCTCGTCCATATATTTTGTGGGTGTACATTCCCCTGCAGGCTGAGGGCGGGGTGACGCTCCGTCGCGGTGCACTTCCCTCGCATGCCGCCCACTGTGATTCATCATGCATCACCCCCTCACATATTCCGTGGTGCCACACCGCTGATATTATTGCGGCCGCTGTGATTCCGCATACTTCACGCATTTGATTGTGCCACAATACATCCGCTCGTGTGGCCGCCGCATCCAAACAGCGGTGCCCAACACCGTGAGCGGCATTCCACATCCCTGCATGTCCCAACGCAGTGGTGTTGGACTGTCAGCCAGGCGTCAGACAACAACAGAGTCTTGTGCTGGCAGTACAACACACGGAGCTGCAGTGAATGACTCGGGCGGCGACGCATCTATTCGTCGCAAAGCAGTGAAAAGGAGTCGGGCAAAATAATGCCGGCTTCATTCACGACACCACATCCACAGCCAAAGCATGCGACGTGATGTGTGTTTCACTGGTGCTGTGAAATGCCTGCAGACGACGTCACTAGTGGAGGCACACCACCCATGATCAGCGGACAGACAATAATCGGCATGGGAGGCCACAAAAGGCAGCAACGACGCCAGCAGCAGGAGCAGCTCTCTCTCTCTCTCTCTCTGTTGCCTCCGAGAAGTAAATATTCCACCAGCCACAGCCGACGGTGCCATCGTGACACTCCATGCACGTCGTGGCTGCGTCAAAGCATCCTGTTCCCTGCAGCGCCTCAAAAGATGCCTCACTCCGTCCACTAAGTGCATCGGTGTGGGCCGTGCCTGGGCTGTTCGTGAGGACCACAACGATGTGAGGGTCACCGAGTCGCAGCATGTTTGTTGTGACGTTGTTGCATGGCACCTGCACACACACACGCAGCGCCTGCATCCCTCCCTTTTGTGTCCGCCCTCTGCCGGAGTGGCCACACACACACGGGCAGCAGCAAAATCACTTCACCCTCGACGATCCAAAGTCAACACCGACATCCCTCGCGACGCAAAGGTCTCAGTTGCCAGCACGGGCTTCCTGCCGCCCTGCCATCGACGCTGAAACACGGCACAGTGCACGCACTTATTTTCCTCGTGTGCAGTCAGCCGTTTGCTTCACACATTCTTCGATGGGCTGATGCCCACAAAAGCACGCCACAAAAGGCCACTGTGATCGCACAAGCTCTTACGATGAGCGTCGGTGTGTGCATGGATCCGCTGCTCACACGTGCTGGCAGGCAGCCTGCAGCCGGTGCCCTCGTGCCAGTGCATCGGCTCCAGCACGGAAAAGAGAAAACGGCCAATTCCCGATGCACTTATTCCCACCAGCAGCACCAACACGCTGGTCGCCAGCCGTCATTCCTCAGCACATCCAGGAATGCTGAAAAGTGACGTGGAACTGTCAGCCAGCAATGCCACAATCCCGCACACATGTCGGCTCCACCAGAGAAGACACACAAACTACAAACAACACCCTTCACATGTCATCCGAACATCATTCCGACACACCGCGACACGCCAAACAGAAGTATTCGTCACCCCAACGCACCTCCCCACACAATCACATAGTCCACGCACCACGCACGGCAGCAGCTCACACGTGGTCAAACAAATGTTCTTCACATCAGTGTAATCCACATGCTGCAGTGGGAAGTAAACAAAAGAGACGGGCTGCCAAACCCCAAAAGAGAGCCACGACTGGCCGCAAGTCAACGGAGCGCAGCCACTCAAAGGAATTCAGTCCTCATGCCCTCAACCTCCTACCTTCCCCCACAAAAGCTGCAAAAGATGGAAAACAAACGCACCGTCCAATAAATTCTTTGCGCAACACCAAAAGAATCCGCAGTGCCTTATGCTGTCCTCACAGTCCGTTGATGACGCCTGGATGCGGATGGGCACCCATCGGTGCTTGCAAGCGAGGCTGCACACCCGCGACGCATCCTGCGCTCTGAGAAACGCGTCCTTCACTATCACCAGAGACGCCCACGCACCGTCGGTACGCACAAATCGTCAAGGAACGAAGGATACGTCAGGCTGACAGCGAGACACCCGCCGACAAATCACAGCGCAGGCATCATCACAAGCGGCACCAAAACCGCTGCAGTTAACTGTGGAGTGACGTGCATCAACTGCCGCATGGCTTATTTGGAAGAAAAAACGCGGTGGCTTTACAAGAATACGAGTAGCTGCCACTTCCTCAGCAGGATAAACAATATGAAAACAAAAAGAAATATTCAGTCATATGCAGTCAAAGCATGCCGCAAATCAAAAAAACGGAATGGGTGCACTCAACCACTACACAAATAAAACAATGAAAAACAAAACAAAAAACGAATCGTGGGACGACCAGCGCACACACACTCTCATTGCTCCCGTAAAGCAAAACACACACACAGGGAGAGAGAGAGAGAGAGGTCGCCCACTCAATGCAATAAAAACAAAACAGAAACAATTACGGTGCTCCGCCCATGCAGCCAGGCAGGACGGCAGCGGTGCGTGTCGTGCAAAAAAGAGAGCACCAACGGGCCTGCATGGGTGTGCATGCAATATATACAATGGGCACATTATGTGTGTGCTTCGTGGGGTGAGGTGAGGGCGAGAGTCCATGCAAGGGGACACACACAGAGAGTGGGTGAAAGACGAGTGTGTGTGCGGGCGGTGCACGGCTCTCTCTCCCACACTCTCACGCGGCCACCACCGCAGCAGCAGCCGCACAAGCAACAACAAGAAGAAGCAAAAGAGGGGAGGTGGTGTTGGAGACCGCGGTGCTGCCGTCACTGTTGCCAGGTGTCACCGTATGATTTGTTTTGGCATCGGCAAGTCTTTCTGTTGTTTGTGGTGCTGCCACACTGGCTGTAAGAGTATCGTTGGTATTAACAGCTGCGGGGTCGTTGTGTGTTCCTTTTGTGTCAGGCCGTTGAGCATCATTGCCGTTCTTATCCGCATTTCTCTGAACATCACCACTGCCAATTGTAGGGATGGATGATGCTGTTGTGTCTGCTGGATGGCCGTTGGCTGTATTCTTCATCAAATCCGATGGGACCCTCTCTTTACTGTGTTGCTCTGCCTCATCATCCTTTGAAGGAGTTTTAGGTGCTTTATAGTCCGTTGCGGTTTCTGACGTTGTCGTCTTTCCAATTGTTGGTGTTGGAGTCTGCGTGTCTGTTGTTGCTGCTTGTGGATTTCCCTCTCCTGATGATAATTCCGTTGTTGATGCTTTTGACGACGGTGGCGGTACTGGTGTTGTTGGTTGTAATTGTGGTGTTGTTTTCAATGGCGGCGTTGGTTCTTTTGGTTGGTCGCTGAAACGGTCTCCCGTATCCACAGCACTCCGCAGTTTCTCGCGTTCAGTATTATCCTCACCAGTAACTCGAATTTCTGGTCTATCTTGTGTATTAGAAAGGCTTTCTTCTGCAATGGGCATTGGCTCCCCCGGTACTTCCACTTTGGGCAATACGGACGCCGCAGGATCGGTTGGTTCTAAATGCTGAACGGCTCGCTGAGATTCCATGTTTTGGGTGGATGACCCACCGCTGGGGGTCGTTGGAGCAACACCACCAGCAGGGGGACCAGATTGAATGACAAGACCAGCACCGTCACTTTCACCAGGCATGGCGGTGCCAACAACTGCACCTGAAGTTGAAATTGAATCATCCTCTTCCCTAAGAGGAACATCATCCTCACTAGCTTCAGCCTTTATAGCAGGAATAGGCAGTGCTGACCGTAAGGGCGGCGTAAGCGCAGCTTTATCACATCCGCTGGGCATATGGTACCAACTAGCACCCAACGCTCCCGACGCCATGCAGCCACCCAGTGCGTTGTTCTCGAATTCTCTCGCATAAACCCATCCGGCACCGCACCACAGCACGCAGAGGGCACACACCAGCAGCACACGGCCGGTCATCATCATCACTCCTGTCACTTGCGTGCAGCCTTCAGCACAAAATAACTCCCCGTCAACGCAGAGCAGAAGTAAGCAGAGAAAAAAGTAACACAGCCAAAGTAACAAACAGCAGCAGGAGCAGCACGCACGTCGAGGCAGAGGAAATCAGTACAATTGCAGAACTTGCACACCGCCCTGCAAACCAGAAGTTAAGCAATAATAAAAAAAAAGAAAAGAGTCGAGTGTCCGGCAGGAATCCCGGAATAAATAAAATTTATTCGGCAGGACGTTTATTTCATGCGCCAAGCGGCAAAATAAGAGCATGTGTTTGTGTATACATATATTGCCTCCATTGAATAAATTTAAAAGAGATCTTGCTGTTCCACCAGCCCACACAACATCCTTCACACTTCATTGCGGCATCCGGCCTGTTCCTCCAATCCTCCTTTCGTGCATTCCGTGGGACGCACAGCAATGAGGCCGGCACCGCGTGTGGGCAAAAACAAAAAACAAAAAAAAGAGGAGAAACACGTCACTCATGACAGTGTGCAGCAGCCGACCATTAAATAAAGGAACAGCAAGGATACGTATCATTCCAGGAAAACAACAAAACCAACAGTAAAACGTAAATAATAAAAGAAAACACGCATGCAACGCGGCACATGTTCTCCGTGAGGAGTCGCAATTCCACACTCTTCGGCTCACAATACCGCCACAACTCCACACAATCCCAGAAGAAGCAGCCATTCCCAACACACACACGCACAGTGCTGTCAACAGTTAACTCTCGCAGTGTCAATTTCGCGTCGTAGAGCACGGCAAAGCAGTCGTCGGGACTCACACCGTTTCCGGAATACTGCGCGGTGAATTCTCGTAATTGGGGTTTTCGTGTCCAGAGGCATTGCGTTGAGTCAATCCGTCCGCATCACCCTCAGCAACAAATCCACTGCCTGCAACGCCATTTTCTGAAACGAGAGATTTTGTGTCCAGTGGCGTTGTGCTCACTCACCTCGTCCGTGTTATCCGCGGCAACGTGTTCCCTGCCGCCATAAGTGACAGACATGATCCCGGAACCATTCGACGCCACTAATATTTTCAAACCATAGGCAAAGAAAAGCCTCTTCTTGGATGCATTCGGGACCGTCATTTCGTTCGGATTGCTGGCAAACTCAGGCCTCGTCCTAGGCGTGCTGGTCGCCGTGTTGGATGCGGGACTCCGATCGACGGTGTTGGGTGCGTCAGCCGCCGCAGACTGTCGCCAATCCTCGTGTTGACGTGACGGCTCAGCATTAACTTGCGGTGCAGTTGTCCCACAGGATTTTGTGTCATCCTTCCCTTCACGGGGCGGCGGCAACTGACAGATGCCCGTCTGGTCAGCATCGCCGCTCCGTGCAGGCGGATGGATGGTTCCATCGGGAGAAAATTGACGCCACCACAATTGATAAGGGCCGGCGTATTTATGTGTCGTCACATTCATCGTGAAGGCAACGGTGGCCCCTTCCTCCTTCGTTGCACAGCTGGCAGCACAGTTGCTACATGTGTGCACCGCATTGGCCACATGGCACACAGCACCCAGCTCACCATTCCTGCCATGCATGCGCACATCAAAGCCACTGAAAGTATAACTCTCATACGGAGCCTCAGCACTGGCAACAGAACACTTCTTCCACGCCCATACACACACACACGCGATAGCTCACGCTGCCGTCACTCGGAGCACACGACACATCCACCGGCACAACCATCGAATCCACATCACCAGATACATGTCCAGGACTCCCAGCTGCCGCCACACGCACACGGAGCAAGCACCACAACAGCCACACGCGCCAGTGCACCCTCATCCATCCATGACGCGGCACCAAAATTTCCAGCCATCCCGCCCTCAATGAAACACGGAGCCCAACTCAACGCAGTCACACGCGGTGCACCACACCCGCAGGAAAAGAGACTCGGGCTGCGCACTTCACTCCCTCCTCCCTTCTCCTCATGGCCACGGAAGAGAACAGCCGCCACACGCAACTGCCAGCATGCACTGCAAAAGAAGCATCCAAATCCACTGCAATGTGCATCTTGTGTGTGTGCCTGCAGAAACACAAAGCAATGAAGTAGAAAAAAGGGAGCAGAGTATGTGAAGAGACGCACAAAATGTACAGCGGAGACGCATAACAGAAACAACAAGAAGAAGACCGCTGAAACTCATGACTGCACTGCAGCCCAAGCAGTGGCAATTCACACAAAATTTATTTAAAACAAAAAAACTTTCCCCTTCGTCTTATATAAACCCCATCGCACAAAATAATTATAAATGAAAAAAGAAATCGTCCATTACTGTTCCACACAAAATAAGAAAAAAACAGCCGGCTGCCTTATAGCCCTACCAAACTGTCTGCATACATTTTGCCCGCAAAAGAAAATTAAATAGTTGCATGTCTTTCAACCGTCTGACCCTCCATGTGTCCGCACATCGTTTATATTTCATGGGGTCATCTGCGTGTTGCTGCTCCCCTCAGCCCTCTCATCGGCGTGTGAGTGGGGCCCGCAGAGCACAGTCACTCGTGTGTGTGTGTGGAGACTGAGAGAAGCACGCAGACATGACGGGAGTCGCGTCACTCCATCGGGAGAGTGAGCGCAGCAAAAAAAAATCATCAGGAGGGAAAAGAAATGCTCACGAGGCCGACACCGAAGGGAGTGCCGGCGCGAGAAATGCACAAGCAAAGCAAAAAGAAAAGAAAAACACGGCGACAGGGTGTGGCTGTGTGTGTGGCGCTGCGGGTGTCTGCCCGCCCTGGCCGCAATAAAAACAAAACAGGAGGGAAAGAAATGTGTGCTCCGCCCCACAGGCCCTCGTCGCACGCCCACACGTCACGGCTCCCTCGGCGCGCCGTTCGTCGCGGCCCCTCCTCATGCGTGCAGCAGGCGAGGCGCACAGGGCCGTCGTCATGAGCGTGTCGGTGGGTGTGCGAGTGAAGCAGTTGGGCGGGAAACACACGGCACTCCTCACAGGAAGAGTGCAGAAGAAACAATTAAAAGAGGGAAGAGTAGAAAAGGAAAAACGTGTCCATAGTGATTGCCCCAAAAAAGCAAAAAAGAGAAGGGATGGGGAGTGAAAAGAAAAAAAAAAAAAAAGAAAAAAATTAACAGAAATTAAACAATAAAAAACAGTTACGGTGCTCCGCCCATGCAGCCAGACAGGACGGCAGCGGTGCGTGTCGTGCAAAAGAGAGCACCAACGGGCCTGCATGGGTGTGCATGCAATACATACAATGGGCACATTATGTGTGTGCTTCGTGGGATGAGGTGAGGGCGAGAGTCCATGCAAGGGGACACACACACAGAGAGTGAGTGAAAGACGAGTGCGTGTGCGGGCGGTGCATAGGCGCTCTCTCACTCACTCTCACGCGGCCACCACCGCAGCAGCAGCCGCACACGCAACAACAAGAAGAAGAAGAAGCAAAAGAGGGGAGGTGGAGTGGGAGACCGCGGTGCTGCCGTCACTGTCGCCAGGTGTCGCCGTATTACTTTGCACAGCTGCAGATACAACTTTTGTTGTGTCTTCATTCCCAGCTGTACTCTCACGGTGTTTTCCTTCACCGTTGAATGGTGCACCAGACATTTGCGTATTTATGGAGGTCTCTTCTGGAACCTCGTTATCCAAGCTTCCGGTGGTTTCACTGCCACTGGGAGATGAGGACTGAGATGTTTGTTCCTGACTGCTGCCTGACGATGTATTCTCTGCAGGAATTGTGGCGGGTGCAGCCACTCTCTGGGATTTATCCTCGTGTGATTCAGCCGTATTTGTTGGATCTTGCGGTGTTGCCGGTGCTTCCTCCGTGCCTTCCCGTGCTTCGGCCGACTTCAGTCCTGCTTCTGGTGTATGTTCTTCTTTTTTGTGGATCTTTTTGCCTTGCACGTCCACTCGGTGTTGACGCGATCCCTCCGCCGCTGCGTCACCTGCGGGCACATGAATGCATTCGCCCAAGGCAGCTTGGCCTTCGCTGCAGCGCCCCGACTCTGGGTGATTCCTTTGCTCTGCTTCACTGCGCACGTCATCGGAATGCTGCTGGTGGCCAGCACCACCTGCTGATCCGTGAATTTGGGCATCGACACCACCAATCACATTTAAAGGAGGCGGAGGTGACAATACGGCAGTATTCGCGCCGGCTGCCTTTGAAGATTTCGCTCTTGAGCTGCCAACTGACGCTCCCGTATCCCTCGAGATGTCGGACTCTCTGTGAGCTGCGCTGTCTTCCTTCGTCTTTTCTTTCTTCAGCGCATCTGCAATATTACTCCTCAACGTCTTTAAACACGTTGTTTTTTCATCGTCCTGTTTGCAGTATTTCTCCTTAATCTCATCATCAGTCTTATTCGCCAGCAAACTCAAAGCCTCCACATATGACTTACTGCAGAATTCATCCTCCAAAGCTCCCTCACAAAAACCACCGCCGGCACCGCACCACAGCACGCAGAGGGCACACACCAACAGCACACGGCCAGTCATCATCATCGCCATCATCACTCCTGTCACTTGCGTGTAGCCTTCAGCACAAACTAACAACACGTCAACGCAGAGCGAAATCGAAAGAAGAGACAAGTCACACAGCCACGCACCGTTCCACCTAGCAATGAGAATCACGCACAGTAACAAATGACAGCAACGCAAACAAAAATGAGACAGATGCAATTATTACAATTCCAAACCTCGAACACCGCCCACAAAATCGGAAGTTCTAAAAAACTAAAAGCAAAAATTAAAAAAAACAACACATTCAAAGCTCCGCTGCGCACGCCTAAGTGTGTGTTCGGGATGCGTTCAAAGTGACGGATGTGGGGAACAATGCGAGCACCAACAGGGCGCACAGCAGACGGCACATCGTCATCATCGTGAGTGTGGTCGTTCAGTGGTGTGGAGCTGATCTGCACAGTGAGGGACATGGAGAGCAACAGGGGAGACGAGAGGTGCGGCAGACACACACAGAGGGCACACCACATGAGGAGAGGGCAGCAGCCAGGCATGCACCGTACGCCGCACACCACGCACGACACACACTCCAATCCACGGCAGCACGCACACACACACACACAGCCCTGCCGCAGCACCAACACACAGATGGAAGAGGGAGAAGCAAACAGGAGCGGCACACAAGGCTCCACCGCATGCACATACGGCGAGAGCGGTCCGTCGTGTCTGCACCCCTCACGGAGGGTACGCACACACAGCAAAATAAGAGGAGGTGCAGCGCACACAGCAACACAAAAGCAAAGTAGCAATAAAAAAAGGAGATCCCCGCACACCACGTGGATTGTTGGTCCACGGGAAGTGCAGCCAATATTCATCACAAAAATAATTCAGTTGTGTTTGGCCTTCGTTCATATTCAGCGCACACCACTTCATGCAGGCCTGGGAACCACCGCAGCAGCCGCAACACTCAAAAATAAGCGCGGGAATGGAATAACGCAAGCAACCATTTATTTGTGTTTCTGTTTGGATGTTGGCAGATGTCCGCATGCGTTGTTTTCTTTGTTTTTAAAGAGGGCAAACCTTCATGCCTCGGTCGTATGTTGAGGATTTCTGCAGGGTGCACAATTATTATTATTCTTTCCTCTTGTGCATTTTTTATTGTGTTGGTGCAGCCAATAATTCGGTTTCTGTTGTTCCTGCCTTTCGCCGGTAAAGTGTTGCAATAGACGTTTTTGTTTCCTCTCGTTGCTGTGACACCTGATTCCTCACCGTTTATTGCGGTGGAAATGAAAATATGTGAGTGGACTCCCACGCACCAGAACGCACCTTCGCTCCTATTTATTGGTGCATGGAAGGGCATGTGTGTTTGGTGGTGTCTCGTCCATATATTTTGTGGGTGTAAATTCTCCTGCAGGCTGAGGGCGGGGTGACGCTCCGTCGCGGTGCACTTCCCTCGCATGCCGCCCACTGTGATTCATCATGCATCACCCCCTCACATATTCCGTGGTGCCACACCGCTGATATTATTGCGGCCGCTGTGATTCCGCATACTTCAGGCATTTGATTGTGCCACAATACATCCGCTCGTGTGGCCGCTGCATCCAAACAGCGGTGCCCAACACCGTGAGCGGCATTCCACATCCCTGCATGTCCCAACGCAGTGGTGTTGGACTGTCAGCCAGGCGTCAGACAACAACAGAGTCTTGTGCTGGCAGTACAACACACGGAGCTGCAGTGAATGGCTCGGGCGGCGACGCATCTTTTCGTCGCAAAGCAGTGAAAAGGAGTCGGGCAAAATAATGCCGGCTGCATTCACGACACCACATCCACAGCCAAAGCATGCGACGTGATGTGTGTTTCACTGGTGCTGTGAAATGCCTGCAGACGACGTCACTAGTGGAGGCACACCACCCATGATCAGCGGACAGACAATAATCGGCATGGGAGGCCACAAAAGGCAGCAACGACGCCAGCAGCAGGAGCAGCTCTCTCTCTCTCTCTCTCTGTTGCCTTCGAGAAGTAAATATTCCACCAGCCACAGCCGACTGTGCCATCGTGACACTCCATGCACGTCGTGGCTGCGTCAAAGCATCCTGTTCCCTGCTGCGCCTCAAAAGATGCCTCACTCCGTCCACTAAGTGCATCGGTGTGGGCCGTGCCTGGGCTGTTCGTGAGGACCACAACGATGTGAGGGTCACCGAGTCGCAGCATGTTTGTTGTGACGTTGTTGCATGGCACCTGCACACACACACGCAGCGCCTGCATCCCTCCCTTTTGTGTCCGCCCTCTGCCGGAGTGGCCACACACACGGGCAGCAGCAAAACCATTTCACCCTCGACGATCCAAAGTCAACACCGACATCCCTCGCGACGCAAAGGTCTCAGTTGCCAGCACGGGCTTCCTGCCGCCCTGCCATCGACGCTGAAACACGGCACAGTGCACGCACTTATTTTCCTCGTGTGCAGTCAGCCGTTTGCTTCACACATTCTTCGATGGGCTGACGCCCACAAAAGCACGCCACAAAGGCCACTGTGATCGCACAAGCTCTTACGATGAGCGTCGGTGTGTGCATGGATCCGCTGCTCACACGTGCTGGCAGGCAGCCTGCAGCCGGTGCCCTCGTGCCAGTTCATCGGCTCCAGCACGGAAAAGAGAAAACGGCCAATTCCCGATGCACTTATTCCCACCGGCAGCACCAACACGCTGGTCGCAAGCCGTCATTCCTCAGCACATCCAGGAACACTGAAAAGTGACGTGGAACTGTCAGCCAGCAATGCCACAATCCCCGCACACATGTCGGCTCCACCAGAGAAGACACACAAACTACAAACAACACCCTTCCCATGTCATCCGAACATCATTCCGACACACCGCGACACGCCAAACAGAAGTATTCGTCACCCCAACGCACCTCCCCACACAATCACATAGTCCACGCACCACGCACGGCAGCAGCCCACACCCGTCTAAACAAATGTTCTTCGGATCAGTGTTAACCACATGCTGCGGTGGGAAGTAAACAAAAGAGACGGGCTGCCAAACCCCAAAAGAGAGCCACGACTGGCCGCAAGTCAACGGAGCGCAGCCACTCAAAGGAATTCAGTCCTCATGCCCTCAACCTCCTACCTTCCCCCACAAAAGCTGCAAAAGATGGAAAACAAAAGCACCGTCCAATAAATTCTTTGCGCAAAACCAAAAGAAGCCGCAGTGCCTTATGCTGTCCTCACAGTCCGTTGATGACGCCTGGATGCGGATGGGCACCCATCGGTTCTTGCAAGCGAGGCTGCACACCCGCGACGCATCTCCTGCCCTCTGAGAAACGCGTCCTTCACTATCACCAGAGACGCCCACGCACCGTCGGTACGCAACAAATCGTCAAGAAACGAAGGATATGTCAGGCTGATAGCAAGACACCCGCTGGCAACCGCGTCGCAGGCATCATCACAAGCGGCACCAAAACCGCTGCAGTTAACTGTGGAGTGACGTGCATCAACTGCCGCATGGCTTATTTGGAAGAAAAAACGCGGTGGCTTTACAAGAATACGAGTAGTTGCCACTTCTTCAGCAGGATAAACAATATGAAAACAAAAACAAATATTCAGGCATATGCAGTCAAAGCATGCCGCCAATCAAAAAAACGGAATGGGTGCACTCAACCACAACACAAGTAAAACATGAAAAACAATAAAGAAAAAGCCGAAGCGTGGGACGACCAGCGCACACACTCTCATTGCTCCCGTAAAGCAAAACACACACACAGGGAGAGAGAGAGAGAGAGAGGTCGCCCACTCAATGCAATAAAAACAAAACAGAAACAGTTACGGTGCTCCGCCCATGCAGCCAGGCAGGACGGCAGCGGTGCGTGTCGTGCAAAAGAGAGCACCAACGGGCCTGCATGGGTGTGCATGCAATGTATACAATGGGCACATTATGTGTGTGCTTCGTGGGATGAGGTGAGGGCGAGAGTCCATGCAAAGGGACACACACAGAGAGAGAGTGAGTGAAGGACGAGTGTGTGTGCGGGCGGTGCATGGCTCTCTCTCCCTCACTCTCACGCGGCCACCACCGCAGCCGCACACGCAACAACAAGAAGAAGCAAAAGAGGGGAGGTGGTGTGCGAGACCGCGTTGCTGCAGTCACTGTCGCCAGTTGAAGCGGTGTCATTTGTACCAACGGCAGTTTCGTTTTTTGTGGGTTCTTCGCTGTTTTTCGCAGCATTTTCATGTTGTTGATGTTGTTTTTGTTGATCTTGTTCCTTTCCTTGTTTTATGCTGTCTTCGTGTTCTTCTTGTGGTTCTTCGTGTTTTTCTTCCTGCTGTTCCTGTTTTTTTTTCTGATCTCGTATTTCTTCTTGTAGATGTTCTCCTTCCCGTTCCTCTTCGTGTAGATGCTCTCGTTGTTCCAGTTCTTCTTCTGATCGTTGTTTTTCTTTTTCTTTTTCCTGTTGCACTTGAAGTCGTTCGGATTCGTGTTGTTCATTTATTATTTGGTTTTGGGTGTTCTGTTCTTGCGCTCCCAGTTCCTTTTCTTGTGGTACTTCATGATGTTGTGTAGACTGGTGTTGACCTTCATTTCCATGAACTTGTGGTTCTACTTTAACCTTTGGTTCGTTGCTTTTATCTTCTGGTCCTGGTTGTACGCCGTCGGTTTCTCCTTTTCCTTTCGGTAGAAGTGGCGGTTGCACTGATGTTATGGGTGACAGTGCTGTTGGTGCTCTGAGGCTTTTTTCTCCTGCATGAGCTGCCGGTGGAAATAATTGCTCTGGTGATTGCACCGGCGCACGCGATATTTCCGGTGACTTGGGTTGTGTTGGGCCTCCTCCTCCCTCTGGTGGTGATGGTGGTGTTCCCTCCACTTTTGTACGAACTTCAGTTATTTCTGTTTGATGCGTATCCAAAGCATCCTTTGAATTTTTTTGTGAACCATTAACGTTACCCGTTGGTTCAACTTCTTCCCTTCTTCCGTCACGATCTGCCTTTATTTGTACGACCGAACTTCCTTGCTTGTCAATATGATCTCCTCCTGGTGCAATCAATGGTTCCTCCGCTGCTTTGGGCTCTGTCAATTGTTTTTTACCAGTTTCACTGTCGTGAGAATCACGCTGTAAACCATCCGATGCTATTCCTTTTAATTCGGTATTTTCATCTTCACCCAAACCTCCCGCATCATTCTCAGCGCAACCACCGGCACCGCACCACAGCACGCAGAGGGCACACACCAGCAGCACACGGCCAGTCATAACCATCGCCATCACTCCTGTCACTTGCGTGTAGCCTTCAGCACAAACTAACTCCCCGTCAACGCAGAGCAAGGAGAGAGAGACAAGTCACACAGCCACGCACCGTCCCATCCAGCGGCGAGAGTCATGCACCACCACCACAATTAGGTAGGCGCAGTTTAAAAACAATAAAAATAACACAAAAGAGGAGCGCTCCTCGCCACTGCATCGTTCCTCACACCCCCACAGTTACTATTACTGTTATTCCCTCTCCTCACTCCCTCACCGGCACGCCACGCTCACCTCAACACGGGCCCCTCCAGCACACGCAGTCCGTCATGCGTTCCCGCTGAGCCGCAACGTCCACCTTCCCTCAGTCAAACAGCTCCGTGTCCTCACAATCGCCGGCATGCCGCGGCCGCGCAAGACAAACAGCACCACAATGTCGTGCCACCTCTCCTCCACAATCATGAGCGCAGCGCCCAACGCGTACTGGCGCACGTGCTCCATGCGCTGCAACCACACGCGGATCAGGCTGGCCGTCATGCACTGCAGCTTGTTGTCCTTGTACTTTTTGTGGCACCACAACGTCGTGTGGCCGGCGGCATCGCAGTGCTGGAGGAAGTACGGCGCAGCAACCGTGCGGGTGTCCGTGTGGCTGTAATCGACCTTCAACGCGTCCAGCTCCCACAGAGAGACAAGGAAATGTGTGTGGATGTGTGCCGAGAGCACAGCGACTGTCATCGCCGGAGGAGGCCATCGTGGCACCGTCCGTCACGCGTCAGCACACACCGAGCAACGCACGCACCCGGCAAAGCAAAAACAGAGGTAAAAGAAGAATGACCCCAAGAGCAGGCGGCACCTTCACGCATGACGGGCATCGTGCAGCCGCGTCAGCCGGCCACAAACTCAATGCAAAAGGCTTCCCACACATCCATCCAATGGCACCGTGATTCCCACCGCAGGCACACACGCAGCGGCCTCGCCATCTCGGCACGGAACGTTGGCTTGCGTCCCGCCGTCGCCAAGAGCATTCTTGCAGAGCACTGTGCAACTACTTTTGTGTGTGCTGGCGTAGCAGAAAAGAAGAGGAGCACAGTGAGGCACATCAGCACAGCAAGAGGCACAGCTGGACGGCAGCGATACATGCGGTACGGCCCCAACCTCAACAATCACGCACGGTGGCGACACACACCCATCGAATAAACAAAACAAAACAAAAGAAAAACACGGCGGCAGGGTGTGGCTGTGTGTGTGGTGCTGCGGGTGTCTGCCCGCCCTGGCCGCAAGGAAACAAAACAAGAGGGAAAGAAATGTGTGCTCCGTCTCACAGGCCCTCGTCGCACGCCCACACGTCACGGCTCCCTCAGCGCGCCGTTCGTCGCGGCCCCTCCTCATGCGTGCAGCAGGCGAGGCGCACAGGGCCGTCGTCATGAGCGTGTCGGTGGGTGTGCGAGTGGAGCAGTTGGGCGGGAAACACACGGCACCCCTCACAGGAAGAGTGCAGCAAGAAACAATTAAAAGAGGGAAGAGTAGAAAAGAAAAAACGTGTCCATAGTGATTGCCCCCAAAAGCAAAAAAAGTGTTGGGGGAGTAAGAGATAAAAAAGAAAGAAAAGAACAAAACAAAAAGCCGAAGCGTGGGACGACCAGCGCACACACTCCCATTGCTCCCGTAAAGCAAAACACACACACAGGGAGAGAGAGAGAGAGAGGTCGCCCACTCAATGCAATAAAAACAAAACAGAAACAGTTACGGTGCTCCGCCCATGCAGCCAGGCAGGACGGCAGCGGTGCGTGTCGTGCAAAAGAGAGCACCAACGGGCCTGCATGGGTGTGCATGCATATATACAATGGGCACATTATGTGTGTGCTTCGTGGGATGAGGTGAGGGCGAGAGTCCATGCAAGGGGACACACACACAGAGAGAGAAAAGGACGAGTGTGTGTGCGGGCGGTGCATGGCTCTCTCTCACTCACTCTCACGCGGCCACCACCGCAGCCGCAGCCGCACACGCAACAACAAGAAGAAGCAAAAGAGGGGAGGTGGTGTGGGAGACCGCGGTGCTGCTGTCGCCGGTGGTTGTTTTGTTTGTTTTGTTAGTGGAGATGTTTATGGCTGTTGCGGATGCTTCACTGTTGGCTGCTGCAGTGTCAGTGCTTTCTGGTGCGCTTTTGGGTTTTCTTGCTGCTTCCTTCTGATCCACTTCTTCTGTGAATGTATTGTTGCCATTGTTGTTGAGGCTACGCGCATCATGATTGTTCGTGGTTGTGGTTGTGGCAGCGTCTGACTCTCCGGCGGGAGGAGCCGTGGGGCTGCTCTCACTGTCGCCAGTTGGAGCTGCGTCAATCGGTTTGTTGTTTGTAGTTGCTGGTTCTGTTTGCATTTTCTCTCCAGGAAGAGTTTCATGTTGCGTTCCTTCTGTCGGTGCTGCGTCACCAGGTGGTTGGTTATTGTTGGAATGGAGCTCCTCAGCGGGTTCCTTTTCCGGAGTCAGAGTCGAAGTACTTCCACGCTTAGAGGGAGATGAAGCTTCTGTTTGTTGTTGACCGACAGGTGATCGATTTTTTGTGGCACCTGCGCTGGACGCGGCTTCCTCCTTTGGTGAGTCCACTTTTTGATCCGTCGCAGCAGATGTCCCTCGTTCCTCTGCTGGCGTTAATGACGCCTTTGATGCTGCCTGTTTCCCTGTGCCTTTCTCTTCCCCTGTCACTGGTCGTGCTGCTTTTGGCGGGCGGCTGTCGTTAGGGGACAGGTCAGCAGTGTCTCTACTCTCCACGCCAGTCACTTCTTCTTTCACAGTTGTGCCGCCATCACCGTTATTACGCCCCTCTTCTGTTCTTAGTTTACCGGACGACTGCTCTTGCGCCTCAGAATTGGGTTGTCCTGGTGCTAGCACCTCGGCTGTCGATACAACGTGAGACCTTGGCTGTGGCGGATCCTGCTCAACATTGGAGTTCCCTTCAACGCGGGATAATACTTTCTTGGTGTCATTGAAAACCTCACCCCCGGGATTTTCAGCATCAGAAAGTAAAGATTTGCAAGGAGGAGAAGCAGAAACCGGAGAGCCACCTCCACTTCCCAGAGAACATTCATCTTTTGTACCTCCAGTGGATACATCACTACCAACCGGGACTGAAGGTCTACCATCAGCCCCAACTCCACTTCCGCCTAAAGTTCCATGACCACCAGAAAAATCATCATCCCCGGCATCGGCCGACACCAAACCGCAGCACAGCACGCAGAGGGCACACACCGGCAGCACACGGCCAGTCATCATCATCGCCATCACTCCTGTCACTTGCGTGCAGCCTTCAGCACAAACTAACTCCCCGTCAACGCAGAGTGAATGCAAAAGGGGGAAAATGGCCGCTACACCAAACACAACCACCGCACAGCAACAAATGGCAACACATAGCAGCAGAGCGCACACTACGAAACAGTTGAAATCAGTACGATTGCAGAACTCGCACAAAACACTGCAAAAAGAAGTTTAAAAGGCAATAAGAAACAATAATTAATAAAAAGAAAAACCCATGGCTCCAGTTCGCATGCATATGAGTGTGTCCGCGATGGGTTTAACGTGACGGACGTGGGGCACACCGCGGAGCACACAGCAGAGCAGCAGAAGCAAACAAAGCAAAAAACAATCATCATAATTACTCTTACTTTATACATCGGACCACAGTAGACGTACACATGTCCCCGTGGCTTTGAGTGCTGGCACGCACAGCACGCACACACCTCTTCAGCCCACAGTGGTGTACGCCAGCGCGGATACGGCGAGCAGCAGCGGGGCACACACCCACGCAGAGCTGCTGAGGCTGCCGTCAATTCTGCGAATATGTGACGGTGCACGGGTGGTCGTCGTAGTTGGCGCCTCTGTGGTTGTAGTACTGGTGGTGGTGCTGGTGGTGGCTGGCGCAGCGGTCGTAGTGGTCGTGGTCGTAGTTGTCGCCTCAACAGACTTCTCTGGTGCCCTTGGCAGGGTAGATTCCTGACTCTGCGACAATTCCTCACCGCTCCTCACATTTCCTGTCTGCAACACCTCTTGAGTCTGTGCGGACTGATTCGGTAAGCCTGGTGACTCTGGATTATCGCTCGCCGGAATTGGTGTCCCTGGCATAACTGACGCACCTGGTTTCTGTCCACTGATGGCCGCAGCCGCTTTCGTTGGCAAAGAAATTCCTTCACTTCCTAAACCTTCCTCAGCGCTCCTCCCATTTTCCGTTTCCGCACCAGGGCCCTTACCTGGTTCCTGTCCCTTATCGAGACCACCTTGCACTTGTGACTGAGAGGACGATTTAATCAGTTCGGTGGATTTGTGGCCATCACTCGCTGTCATGCACACAGACGGGCAGCAGCACAGGGCGAGCACCAACAGGGCGCACAGCAGACGGCACATCGTCATCATCATGAGTGTGGTCGTTCAGTGGTGTGGAGCTGATCTGCACAGTGAGGGACATGGAGAGCAACAGGGGAGACGAGAGGTGCGGCAGACACACACAGAGGGCACACCACATGAGGAGAGGGCAGCAGCCAGGCATGCACCGTACGCCGCACACCACGCACGACACACACTCCAATCCACGGCAGCACGCACACACACACACACAGCCCTGCCGCAGCACCAACACACAGATGGAAGAGGGAGAAGCAAACAGGAGCGGCACACAAGGCTCCACCGCATGCACATACGGCGAGAGCGGTCCGTCGTGCCTGCACCCCTCACGGGGGGTACGCACACACACAAGAGGAGGTGCAGCGCACACAGCAACACGAAAGCAAAGTAACAATAAAAAAAGGGAGATCCCCGCACACCAAGAGAATTGTTGTTCCACGGGAAGTGCAGCCAATATTCATCACAAAAACAGTTCAGTTGCGTTTGGCCTTCCTTCATATTCAGCGCACACCACTTCATGCAGGCCTGGGAACCACTGCAGCAGCAGCACGCATACGTGACAATAAGACACAAAGGATGGGAGGTGGTGTAGAAGACCGCGGTGCTGCTGTCGCTATCGGCGGTGGTCGCTGTTCCTTTGTCATTGTTGGTGACTGATGTTGTTGTGAATTCTTCCGGCTGTTTGACTGGGAGTGATGTGAAAAAACAACTGGTGTCCTGACACTCCGTCAATGCCTTCCCTGTCCCGTCGGTTTCTCTGCTCGCCGCTGGAGTCGGCGGGACGCTGACAGGGCGCACAGCACCAACTGACTGAAATTGTTCTGCTGTGTTCTCGTCCCCAGTCCCACTGCACCAGATGCTGGGGGCGGTGCAGCGGTCATGCCAGAAGCACCAGCAATGGGTTGCGGTGCCGGCCGCATCAATCAATGGGTGCGTTTCCGAAAGCGACAGGAACATGCATCGACAGGGACTTCTGCACCGACGCTCGGGGTGGGGGAACAGTGGCGACAAACAGAACAGCGCGTGCCACCTCGGAAAATCCGCAGGGCGTATTGGCGCGGGCTGCGTTGTGGTTTTGCGGCGACGGAAATAAATGACGGTGCGAGTGGCATTCTCGTCGTACGTCCCCTCCGGCCACTCCTTGCAGTAAACCCATTGCCTGAGTGCATTGTATTACGCCTGAGAGACGACTTGAAAAATGTTCTTTCCTCTAAATGTATTGTACTCGCATGTGGCCACGGCCGCCCGCAATGCCTCCAGCGGATACACCTGCGATGCACACGGTCGACACATTCCACATCCACTCGTTGTGCGCCATCCAACACCATATTTTCCTTGGAGCTATGAACAACACCGGGCACACACTCCTTTTCGGCCGTCCACGGCATGCGCCTGCGGTGAGGATCCGGAGAAAGCCCCATTCCTTTTAGCCCAAAGTCATGGAGCTGCCGCCGTTAAGCGCGTCCCGGCGAGGGCAACAACAGCCCGCCGCAGCACTCACGAATGCCCACCTGTTGATTCCTGTGCAAAAAAAAAAAGACAATGGAGGAAAAAGCGTGCACAAATGCCCCGGCAAAAAAAGTCAGCACCAGTGGATGAACACTGAAGCCGTGAGTGCATGCTCCACCAATGTCCTTCCTTTTTCAACCGCCTTCTTAGTTGCATGGAAATGGCCCGCAACCGTACACGCAAAAAACAAAGGTAAAATGCAAGCAGCGCGGTCGTTGAAACACAAACACGCGCATCGTATGAAACAATTCTTGGAGAGGAACGGAATGCAGGAAGAAGTGCACACAATCCCCACAGACACCCGCAATCGTGTGTGTTTGTGTATCTCCCACTCTTTGGCCCTCGATGCGTTCCTTTGCGTGTCTCGCCCGTGAGTCCTACTGCCGTAGGGTGCCAAGTCCCTGCACAAACACACCTCAGGACGCGACAGCGAGATTTCCCCAATGACCACCCCACGGCCATACCTTTTGGATATCTCATGGACCGAGCGCCTCTCGCTGCAGGCCACACCACACAAAACAAGCAGCACAATGCGCTGAGGAGTTGTGAGGGCAATCGTCCCACCACCACCGCCACCCAGATCAGGATGATTCTCCCATTTGCCACCGCACCCTTGAAATGGCCCGGCGTTGTTCCCTCATGCTCCACTGCTTTGACCACCACTCGCGCCATTTGGCCCTATCACATGATCGCGCTGCGCCGATGCCAACGACAGCCCAACCCGCAGCGTCCTATTCCTGCCCGCCGTCTCCATCATCATACAGGCATGCTTCAGAAACGTATCCCCGTCCGTTGCGGCGTTGCTCGCAGAGGCGCTCGTGCTCCGTTCGCTCTGCGCCAACGCCGTGCTGTATCGTTGCAAGCTCCCGGCCCTCCTCATCACATGCTCAACGTTCGCAAACAAATGAGCGTCGAACGTCAGTCCACCGTCTCGGATCAGCTGCTGCTTCTTGGCCTCTTTCAACTCGTCGGTGCCGCTCGCAGTCACAAGCAACAGGAGAAGACACAGTCACACAGGCCGGGGCATCGCGGCATCCCTCGTCAGTTGCCGCACGCCATCCAGGTTTTTCCTGAGGGATTTGTGCCCAACGGCGATGTTTGTTCCACCTCCCACACCTCCGCCACTCGCTTCACCCAGTACTGTGCCACTAGCGTCGCGCAAAAATCGATGTGCAGCGACAGTCTGGCTTGCCTCTCCCGAAACTCCGGCGGAGCCCGCACCGCACTGCTCAGCTCCGCAGGATTGGCCTTCGGCTCCACGCCCTGCGCCAATCCCGGGTGATACACGTGGAGTTTTTTCAGCGCCACCGAAAGCTCCTCCACGCACTGTGCAAGGAATCAATGACGGTACGAGCACCAGCACACGTCCTCCTCACCAATTACTGCCGCTTTGAGTCCACACCCAGACGATTCCTACATGTCTGCTCATACACTTTCTTCCCCAGCGGCATCAGTTCATCAAGCAGACACTGACATGTACGTTGGTGCATCAGCGGCGTCACCGTGACACAGCCCCAATCAACGATGATCCGCACCGGGTTGCCGCGGCTGTCGGCGCCCCTAAGCGAAACCCTGCTCGTCGTGGCAGTGCCTGGCGAGCCCTCAAAAAAGGTCCCGGCAAACCCATGGCAGATGCTGCCTCTGTTTTGGTGGCGAATAAAAGGCACACCGTTGTTCATGGCGTAAAAAGCCGCCACAATAAGTGGCACCGCAACGTCCAAAACGGACTCTCAATTCGGAAGCAACAGCAGCTGAGGAAACCCATTCTGCATGCTGAGGTGGAACACCAGCACCTCAGGGGCGGCAAAGTCTAACATAATGTCCTTCAAACGCATCGCCCTCGGCGCTATCCGAGACCTCGCGAGTTGCTGAGGACTGCGATGCGGGGTGCACCCCAACGCAAAGATGTGTGCATCCCTGCACGGGACCTTTGCCATCCAATCCTCAGCCACGCGGCTCACAGACGCATCCTCCACGGCGAAAAAGTAGAGCGCAGGGCTACTCATAATCGGCTACCGCGGCGTCATAGGTCCCAGAGCAGCGTCACGCCGTGCTCCATGAGTTCATGGACACGCAGTGAGCAGTTTAGCACAGCCGCAGCATGGGAATAGCAAAAAAAAAAAACTTTGGACAATCCATGAACGACGTCAAGCATCTGATGGAATATATGATCCCGCACACAACCACAAACGCCATTGCTAGGCTCACGCGGCTGCCCGCTTCCGTCGGCCTTGCTCGCACCAACCCGCCCCGCATACTATGTCAAGTAGAAGTCACACAGACAATGCGCTTGGATATGCGTGTGTGCGCCTTGCGTGCGCACATTTCACTCGCACCGTTGTGTGTGTATGTGCATCACAGAAAACCTAACAAACACACAAGCAATGCCATACCACCATCTGGTGCCCCCACATCGGCAAGCAACACGGGAAGAGCTATGTGCACCGGAAATACAACCAATCTCAAATAAAAAGTCAAACAGAGCGGACACAGCACATGCATATGGAAAAGAAGACCCATTGAAATGGATGTTTTCCTATTGGGCTTCCAATGCTGGGCGCAGGCCACGCAGGAGGAAGCGCATTCGCCTCGCAGCGCAACGCCGACCACACCGCAAATCGATAGAGTGTTGCCACGGCAGCAGCAGAGGCAAGCAGAAGAAGCAGCGGACAGGGACAAGCAGCAGCAGCAGTGTCATCACCGGGAGTCGGAGGCGTGGCCTGCTCGCCGTCCGTCTCGCTGCTTCGGTCCCTGCCGCCAAGAGAAGATTCTCGCGGTCTGTCGGGGCATCCTGGCCGGATCCACTTCTCCTCTGTCGATGGATGCTTCTGAGGAACAGCCGTGTCGACATCCTTCGGTGGTGTGCCGCGGTCGGTCCCAATGCCCTCCGCAACGGGGACGGACGCCCCTGGCAATCCTTCTTCAGTAGATGCCTGTGAGACCGTCCTGCTCCAAACGCCCTCTTCTCGCCGTCCCACGGAACCACTGGAAGTAGGCCACCGCTGGTGCCGGATATCGTGCACACCTCCGCGTGGTCACGGCAAATGACGTTTCCCTCATCGTTGGGTCGAGTGGCCCACGCAATCGTCGCTCAGTCCGTGCATGGAACCAACGGACGTTACCTCTTTCAGTCACTTTCAGATGCACTTACATGCCGAGGCACCTCAATGCCGCATGCATGGCAGCACTGAAATATGTCTTCTCCGGGTCCCTCGAATCCGTCGTGCTGGTGGGAAGCGTGTCCAGACACCACGAAGAGGGCTCATCCCCAGGCATCGCAGAGAAATATTCTCCCCTCCAAATAACAGCCTCAATATCCCTCACATTCACTGCGGGATCAGTGATGGGGAAACTGCCCATCGGGCGTTTTGCTGACATCTCATGGATACTCCGTCTACACGCAACCGCTGGAATGCAAATCCGACGCGCAGCGTCTGGCAGAAACACCCAATGCGCAGAGCATGTGGAAATATTCACTCATGTTCAGTGCGGAGCGCCTCCTCTGC